TAGCGCACGGTCAGCATACGGAAGGCAGAGTAACTGTTCTCTAAGTGAAACTGTGAAATATCTTGGTTACGCACTTTTGATTACATTTTTTTGTATTCATTATCATCTTTTTTTTATATATATTTTAAGCACAAGATGTTTTTACCTGCATCATTTTCAGATAAATACCTTTGCATTCGATTTATTTTGACTATGGATGCACTCCGCCATCTTTGTTTACACGCATTGAAAACAACAATGATGATAATAATAAAATCAAAGATCACACTCACATATGTCTGTCTGTTCGTTTCTTGACACATATTTGCGAAAATAGGAGGTGAGAAAGAGAGAGAAGAGAGAGAGAGTGAGAAAGAGAGAGAAGAGAGAGAGAGTGAGAAAGAGAGAGAAGAGAAGAGAAAGTGAGAAGAGAGAGAAGAGAAGAGAGAGTGAGAAAGAGAGAGAAGAGAAGAGAGAGTGAAAAGAGAGAGAAGAGAAGAGAGAGTGAGAAAGAGAGAGAAGAGAAGAGAAGAGTGAGAAAGAGAGAGAAGAGAGAGTGAGAAAGAGAGAGAAGAGAGAGTGAGAAAGAAGAGAAGAGAGAGTGAGAAAGAGAGAGAAGAGAAGAGAGAGTGAGAAAGAGAGAGAAGAAGAGAGAGTGAGAAAGAGAGAGAAGAGAAGAGAGAGTGAGAAAGAGAGAGAAGAGAAGAGAGAGTGAGAAAGAGAGAGAAAGAAGAGAGAGTGAGAAAGAGAGAGAAGAGAAGAGAGAGTGAGAAGAGAAGAGACAGAGAGAGAGAGAGAGAGAGAGAGAGAGAGAGAGAGAGAGAGAGAGAGAGAGAGAGAGAGAGAGAGAGAGAGAGAGAGAGAGAGAGTGAGAAAGAGAGAGAAGAGAAGAGAGAGTGAGAAAGAGAGAGAAAGAAGAGAGAGTGAGAAAGAGAGAGAAGAGAAGAGAGAGTGAGAAAGAGAAGAGAAGAGAAGAGAGAGTGAGAAAGAGAGAAAGAGAGAGAGAGAGAGAGAGAGAGAGAGAGAGAGAGAGAGGAGAGAGAGAGAGAGAGAGAGAGAGGAGAGAGAGGAGAGAGAGAGCTTCTACGAGAGGAGTCGTGCGGTCCTCTTGTGGTGCTAAGTCGTGTTTGCAGGAAGACTGAACTGAACTGACCTGAACTGGTCACTGGGCTGATAGCTGCGGGCGATGGTCTCCTCGCCACGTGACCAGCCTACCCACAGAACAAGCAGACACACACACACACACACACACACACACACACACACACACACACACACTCACCGCACACACACACACACAAACAAACACGCACCACACACACACCACGCACACACGCACACACACACACACACACGCACGCACGCACACACGAACCGTATTCATGTTGGCTATTGTGGAAAGGTATGAATGAGAACGAATATCTTCAAATACGAGAGATGTAGTTGACCGATTTTGATTATATATTCGTCAGAATTACATGTATTTTTCATTCATACCTTTCCACACACACACACACACCAAACCCAAAATCATTTTCCTTAATATAACTGTTATTATCACACACACCAACAAACACACACACCACACACACACACACACACACACAGATACACATATTCCGTTCCTCAAAGCCAGGAGAAGGAGAAGAAGGAAAAAGAGAAGGAGAAGGAAGAGGAGGAGGAGGAGGAGGAGGAGGAAGAAGAAGAAGAAGAAGAAGAAGAAGAAGAAGAAGAAGAAGAAGAAGAAGAAGAAGAAGAAGAAGAAGAAGAAGAAGAAGAGGAGGAGGAGAGGAGGATGAAGAAGGAGAAGAGGAGGAGGATATCGAGAAGGAAAGGGAAGTGAAGTAGGGAAGGAGGAGAAGGATAAAAACAAGAAGAATGAGAAAGTAGAAGTGAAAGAAGAAGAGATAGGATTAGGATAAGGAAAAAAGTAGTAGGATAACTACACAAGTCAATGCAGATCCTTCAAATATAAATGATTATTTTTAAATATAAATAAAAACTCTAATATGTAACATCAAAAACCCCATAAAAAAAACAAAAATCATTAAGAAATAAACTATAATTTTACGCATAAAAAATATATATATATATTTTTTTACATCAGCTGAAAAAATTCTTGGCTATTCATATACTAATCTCTCCCCAATCCACCAGATTATATAAAGGAGCCAACGAGGTGATCCGAACGAAGGGGGGAGAAGAGAAGGAAGAAAAGGAGAGAAAAATACGATGCAGAACGGAAGATAAATGATAATAACAGCATCAAGTATAATGCTGGACTGTGCAGTATGTCTCCATCCCTATAGTTGATACCAATAGGTAAGTCCTGGTATTTCTTTCTCTTTATTATTTTTAGATTTTAGAGATGTAGTTCATGTGCGTTTTATGTATATAGTTTGATATGTAATACTCGAATATGATGCTTAATTCAGATATGCAGACAGAGATGTATCGTACACGCGCGCGCGCGCACACACACACACATACGAACGCACACTGACACACACAACGCACACAGACAAACACACACACACACGTATATATATATATATATATATATATATAATATATATATATATATATATATATATATATATATGTGTGTGTGTGTGTGTGTGTGTGTGTGGTGTATATATTATATATATATCATATATATATATATATATATATATATATATATATATATATATATATTATATAGAGAGAGAGAGAGAGAGAGAGAGAGAGAGAGAGAAAGAGAGAGAGAGAGAGAGAGATTATGTGTATTTATTCATTCATTTATGAAAATATTTTCAGTCCCAAGAAAGTGGCACAGGACGTGACCCTCCGCGATGCAGTCGTCAGGAAGGACTATAACTTGTGCGTCAAACTGCTGGAGGAGGGAGCCGACGTCACGGCCACGGACGAGGACGAGTCGTCCCTCCTGCACCTCCTGGCCCGAAAGTACTCCAAGGTGGAAACCCGAGCGCAGAAGATTCCGGCGCTCCTGCTGCAACACGGGGCGAACATCAACGCCAAGGACAAGAACGGGGACCGCCCCTCCACGTCGTCGCGAGAGAAGGGTCCGAGGACTTCTGCCGCGTCATCCTGGACCACATGACCCGCAATTCCAAGGTCAAAGTGAACACCAAGAACAAGAAGCTGATGGCGCCCCTGCATCTGGCATCGCAGGAGGGCCACGACAGAATAGTCCAGCTCCTCCTGGACGTGGAAGCCGACCCTCTGTCCACGGACGGCCAGAAATACCTCCCCATCACCACGCCGCTGAGAAGGGCTACGCCACGTGCTGCAGGTTGCTCTTCCTTCATACCCAGGCGATGCCAAGATGGAGTCTAAGGTATTGACGCCTCTGATGTTAGCCGCCAGAGGTGGTTTTACAGGTGCCTCGAAGTGATGACAGGTGAAAAGATCGACTTGAACAAGCAGGACCGACAGGGCAACACTGCGCTACACATAGCTGCAAAATCAGGCTTTGATAAATTCGTGAAACAGATCATTGAATTAGAGAGCAACATCAACATCAAAAACAAAGCAGGGAACACGCCGCTTATGGAAGCCGCAACGAAAAATCGTGCAAGTTGCCTGTTGATGTTGTTGCACAAGGGAGCCAAGGTGGACGAAGTCAACAAGGCGAAGAGGAGTGTTCTGCACATTGCCTCGGATAGGAGATCTGGCGAATGCATGGAGTATATTCTAAAAATGGTAACATGAAGAAGGTGATTAACCTCCAGGATAGCGATGGCTGCACAGCACTCCACATTGCAATCAAGAGAGACTACGAGAAATGCGCCCTCTTGCTCCTCGACGCAGGAGCCTCGCCGAAGTGGCTTGCAAGCAGAAATTCACCGCGCTCCACCTGGCCACGCAGAACACGAAGACGAATGTCCTGGAAGGCCTTCTGAAGATCAAAGGCTTGGACCTGGACCCCGAGAACCTAAACAAGGAGACACCTTCCACCTGGCTGCCAAGAGCGGCCTGAGAGATACGTGCCTCCTGCTCCTGAGGAAGGGTGCTCGCCTGAACGCCGCCAACAAGCAGGGCCAAACGGCTCTCCATCTCAGCGCTTACCACGGACATCATTCTGTCGCAAAATTACTGATCAAAAGAGGAATCGACAAACGCGCGACAGACGACAAGGGTTCCGTCGCGCTCCATGCAGCTGCGTGTAAGGGTAATCTCGAATGCTGCAGAGTGCTCGTGGAGGCCGACAGGGTGAGCGGGAAGGAGAAAAACAAACGGGACAGGTATCCCTTCGATTATGCCTTCAATAATGGCCACCAAAAAGTATTCCAGTTCCTGTTGCAGAGTCTGCCGTTCAAGGGCTTCGCTACCCTACCTCAGGGAATACAGGAGAAGCTTCACTCACACACTCACAAGGCGTTAAAAGAACGTAACAAGTAAGTGTGATTCGTTACGAATGTCTCTGTGTCTGTCTCTTGTTTGACCTGATTTTACCTTCCAATAATTGCATTAAAAAATACATGGGATCTTGATTTGTGCAGTAATTACATCTGTAAATTTTACAGAAGAAAAAAGAAACACTTCAGTTTACAAGATTAGAAGATAGAGTGTTAACACATTTCTCCAGAGACAAGACACTATAATATTACATTGAAAGAAACGTAAATTCTGAAGGAAAAAAACATCTTCAAGGGGTCTAGATATGATAGCTTAGACTTTAGTTATTCATACTCATGTATTTTATTATCGTTATTATTTCATAATACTCTTTCCAGATCAGCTGTTGAAACGATCGTGGAAAGCATGTGGTGGGAAGCGGGTTTCGGTTCCACCAAGAGGCACGAAGAGCAGCCTTGTAGTAACTTCAGGGAGCTTATCAAACTTTACCCTTCAATAGCCGAGAAAGTGATGAACAAGTGCACAACCACTTGCCCAACAACGAGGTTCAAGTCCTACGATTTCAGAATATTCGAGGACAACTACTTCATCAGGCGAGGTCAGTTTTGGGAGTGTATAAGCTGTTTCACAAGTTTCATAACTTAAATAATTTAATTCAAACACACGAGCACACGGGTACATAAAGGCACACACGCATATTTATAGGTATCCTGTGCCTACCTTAATGGTGGCTTAAACGATTTAGAAATGAAAAAGACTATTAAATATATGTAGACTGTATTGGTGAGAGTGTTTATTGCTGTCATTGATTTATCACGCTATCAAGACCGTTTTGTTTGCTAGTTATATTATCAATCCCATTTTAACACAGACTTATCCTTTATCCACTAGAAAAGAAGAGGAGTGGCTTGGATTTACCCCAAAGCCCTTTCTACCAAGACTCGTGGAGGGTCATGCCCTTTGCGGAAGAAATGGTCACCGACAACCTCCTCTGGAAGAAGGAACACCCGTAAACCTCATGGTTGTGCACCGCTGTCCCCAGCTCCTGCAGCACCCACTGACCAAGGCCTGGCTCAGACACAAGTGGAAGTCCTATGTGCGGTTTATTTACATGGGACGCTTTTTCTGCAGCTGTTCTTCATGGCGGCTCTGGTTGCCTTCATGGTCGTGGTGTGGTGAGTGTGGAAACTGTACACAAGCTTTTCCTTTTTTGTACGTTTGGGAATGTTGGTGAAATCAGTTGGGTAAATTTCATATTATTGTAATAACGATAATGATGATGTTTATATTGTTACTGGTTATGGTGATGGCAACATATATAATAACATGGATAACAATATTGATGATTTCGATGAGGATGACAACCATTTCTCCCTCAGGAACTGGCAACAGATAGAACAAACCCAAAAACTTGACAGAAGATGAGTTCTGCAGAGTTAATAAAAAACCTGACGAGCTCACGACTGCTGTGAACTCTACTTCCTCAGTCCAAGAAGCCAATGCAACTTCTCTTCGACCTCTTGACGTAGGAGAAGCTAATGCAACCTCTCCTCGGCCTCCTGACGTGGCAGAAGGAGTTGACAGCTGGGATTCCTCGCAGTCCCATTTCTGTCATGCGGTGCTCTGTATCTCACTCATCTTTCAGATCGTTCTGGAGGCCAATTACATCCGGAAGGTGGGTCATGAGGTCGTTCTTGTTTCTTGGTGAAGACTAATATTTGTTATATTCTGTGATTGACTCTTTTGTAACTTTTTTTTTTTTTGTTCATCTCTCTCTTACACACACGCTCAATTACTCATTCACACAAACAAAACAACAACGTTAACGCACGATAATGTAGGTCCACCTTTCATTCTTACAGTTACGCTGCCAGTACGTAAACATCACATCTCTGGTTTCCTTCATGTGCATAATCCTGTGTGTTGTGCTTCTGCTGCCTACGTCCGTCTGCAGCCTACAGCATGGAATCAAATCGGTTAGTATCTTATATTTTGATTTTCTGCTGTTTACGGTGATATGTTTCCGGCGTAATGCAATTTTCACTGTCGGTGTTTGTGATAACAAGATTTTTCGTCTCTGCGACCCTGTCTGTTTGGTTTTCTACCTGTAACTCCTCTCTCTCTCTCTCTCTCCCTCCTTCCCTCTCCCCCACCTCTCTCTCTCTCTCCCTCCTTCCCTCTCCCCCCACCTCTCTCTGTCTCTCTTTCCCTCTCCCCCCCACCTCTCTCTCTCTCTCTCTCTCACCGATGCTTGTGTAAGTAAAATACCTTTTTTTCCAGGTCCCCATTTGGCAGTGTGGTATCATAGCTTTGGTCTTGGCCTCGTTCCGCCTCATCAGCACCATCAACCGACTCCCTGCTTTCTCCGTATTCACATCAATAACTCAGAGTTTCATCATGAGTTACCTGAAGGGCGTGATGTATGTCTTGGCCATCATCTTCCTCTTCGCCCTCATTTTTCACCTCCTCCTCTCCAATCTGCTGTCTTTCGTCACGCTTCCCCAGGCACTAGTGAAGATGGTCGTGTGGATGCTGGGAGACCTTGGCTACGATGACACCTTTATAAATAACACTCTGAATTATCCGTACCTCGTCAACTGCCTTTTCCTCGTCTTCCTCTTCACGATCGGAGTGTTCCTCGTCACCTTGCTCAAAGCGCCCTCGACCGATATTAACAAAATCAAGTTTTACCGCATGGCGAGGCAAGCTCAGATGTACTTCACGATTGACATCAGTTTCCCGAGCTTCAAGAGGTCCCACGCGATTGGGAAGTTTTGCGACAAGGAACACAGAGTTCTGGATCGTCTCCAAGCTCGAGAAAATATTGAAGCGTAGGCAGCAGGAGCCGTGGTTGTGCAGAACCTCTTAAATGTAGTGAAATAGGGCTTATAGACGATCGCGAGTACAGGAAGCCAATGGCAAAGGCACTGGCTGGTGGTTAAAGTCGAGGATGTGTTGAACATGTTTACGTCAGAGACAGAGGAAGATGACTCCCAGCGTTTCCCAGACGTCGCTCAGGAGCACATTGCTAATCAGAGTGAAAAGTTGGATCAGTTATTAGTGCTGTATAATCAGCTACATGAAAGCTATCAGAAACAGAATGAACAAATGAATGAGCTAAGAAATCAGATAGACAGTTTAAAGCTCCACACATTCTAA